GGAGCAAGAACAAAAGGAGAAGGAAAGGGAGAGGGAGCGGAAGGGGAAAGAACGGGAGAGAGAACTGCAGCAGAGGAAGATGGAGAGGGAGAGGGAGAGAGAGCAAGCGGAGGCGAGGGAGAGGGAGAACGTACACAGCCTGAAGCAGCAGCAGCAGCAACAGCAGCAGCAGCAGCAGCAGCAGCAGCAGCAGCAGCAGCAGCAGCAGCAGCAGCAGCAGCAGCAGCAGGGAGGGGATGCAGAGCTGGATCCAGTGCCAATGAGCGTGGCCTATGAGCGCAAGAGGAAGCGAGCTCAGGATGTAAACCAGGAGAAAGGTGAGGGGGAGGTGCAGGCTGGTCAGCCGCAGAAGCAGGCTGTGACGACATACACACGTGCGAGGAGGCAGGGGGGTGCTGCCGTGGATAGCAAGCCTTCTGACGTGGACAAGAGAGGTACAGGGACGGAGGGCGAGAAGCATGACATAGCGAAGGGATTGGGGAGGGAGGGTGTGAGAGGAGCTGGAGTGAGGGATGCGAGAGGGGAGCACAAAGAGGAGGTGGTGACAACTGTGGCGAATACCATGCTGCTGGATCTGAGTGATGAGGAGTGCTCGCTTTCGCCCTTGGAGCTGGGTGGAGGGGAGAGTGAGGAGAGGGGTGAGGTTGCTGTGTCTGCTGCGCGCTGGGTTAAGGATGTGAGGGGTCAGGCGGTTCAGGAGCAAGGTGCTGGTGGTAGGAACGCTGGTGTGAAACCTGCTGCTGCTGCTGGTGCTGCTGCTGCTGCTGGTGCTTCTGGTGGTGCTTCTGGTGGTGGTGCTGCTGCTGCTGCTGCTGCTGGTCCTGGTGTAAGAGGAAAGGTGAAGGGAGGGACAGTGATGGAGAAGGAATCGGAAAGTGTGGAGGAAGAGGAAGGGGATGATAAAGACGAGGAGGAGGAGGAGGAAGAGGACGAGGAGGCGGAAGGTGAAGAGGAAGAGTCGACAGAAGGTGACAGCACTGAGGGTGAGGAGGAAGAAGAGGAGAATGTGCAGGAGGTTGCTGCGAAAGTTCCAGAAGCAAGATCTGCAGGGAAGATGGCGGCAGAAGGTACAACCAAGGCACAGGGTGAAGTAGGGACCAAGGCACAGAGCCTGCAAGCTGCTGCTGCTGCTCAGGTTCAGAGAGGAGGGGAAGACCCTGCTGCTGGTAAAGGCGAGGAGGAGGAAGAGGACGAGGAGGCGGAAGGTGAAGAGGAGGAGTCGACAGAAGGTGACAGCACTGAGGGTGAGGAGGAAGAAGAGGAGAATGTGCAGGAGGTTGCTGCGAAAGTTCCAGAAGCAAGATCTGCAGGGAAGATGGCGGCAGAAGGTACAACCAAGGCACAGGGTGAAGTAGGGACCAAGGCACAGAGCCTGCAAGCTGCTGCTGCTGCTCAGGTTCAGAGAGGAGGGGAAGACCCTGCTGCTGGTAAAGGCGAGGAGGAGGAAGAGGACGAGGAGGCGGAAGGTGAAGAGGAGGAGTCGACAGAAGGTGACAGCACTGAGGGTGAGGAGGAAGAAGAGGAGAATGTGCAGGAGGTTGCTGCGAAAGTTCCAGAAGCAAGATCTGCAGGGAAGATGGCGGCAGAAGGTACAACCAAGGCACAGGGTGAAGTAGGGACCAAGGCACAGAGCCTGCAAGCTGCTGCTGCTGCTCAGGTTCAGAGAGGAGGGGAAGACCCTGCTGCTGGTAAAGGCGAGGAGGAGGAAGAGGACGAGGAGGCGGAAGGTGAAGAGGAGGAGGAAGAGGAGGAGGAGGAGGAGGAGGAAGAGGATGAGGAGGCGGAAGGTGAAGAGGAGGAGTCGACAGAAGGTGACAGCACTGAAGGTGAGGAGGAAGAAGAGGAGAATGTGCAGGAGGTTGCAGCGAAAGCTCCAGAAGCAAGATCTGCAGGGAAGATGGCGGCAGAAGGTACAACCAAGGCACAGGGTGAAGTAGGGACCAAGGCACAGAGCCTGCAAGCTGCTGCTGCTGCTCAGGTTCAGAGAGGAGGGGAAGACCCTGCTGCTGGTAAAGGCGCATCTGGTAATGTGTTAGAGAGAGCAGTTGCAGCCCGGCAGGAGAGGAGCATGGTGATGGAAGTTGAGGATGTGGAGGAGGAGGATGAGGAGGAAGATGAGGAGGAAGATGATGGGGAAGAAGAGGAGGAGGAAGAAGAGGAGGAGGATGAGGAGGACGGGGAGGATGAGGAGGACGAAGAGGAGGAGAGTGATGAAGGGATGGAGCAGGAGGGCAGGAGGAGGCAGGGAGGAGATGTGCAGAGCAGGAGCAGGCAGGTAGAGCAGGGGATGCGACCCCCTAGGGAAGCAGCAGCAGCAGCAGCAGCAGCAGCAGCAGGAAGAGTAGGATCAGTGGCAGGAAAGGGAGCCCAGGTTGGGAGCAATGCGGCTGTTGGTGCTGCTACAGCCAGGGCTCAAGCGGTGGTGAATGGAGGGGTGGTTGGTGGTCCTGGTGTGGGGGGAGCGAATGCAAGAGCACAGATGGAGATAAGTATGGAGGATGGGAGCGGCGAGGAGGAAGACGAGGAGGAGGAGGATGGGGACGAGGAGGAGGAGGAAGAGGAGGGAGATGAGGAGGGTAGTGAGGAGGAAGAGGATGAAGAAGGAGATGAGGAGGAAGGGAGTGAGGGCGAGTGGGAGGAGACGAGTGTGGATGGTTCTGGTTCCATTGGGGCATCTGCAGCGAGTCAGGCCAAGGATGGTGGTGCTATGGCAACGACAGCCAGGCAGGGAGAGGCTCCAGTGCAGCGAAGGGAGGCTACTTCTGCTGATATGGCTGCTTGCATGCGCCAACAACAGCAGCAGCAGCAGAAGAAGTTGCGGCTGAGTCAGCAGCAGCAGGAAATGCGTCTGAGTCAGCAGGAGATGCGACTGAGTCAGCAGCAGACAATGAGGCTGAGTCAGCAGGAGGATGTGCGGCTGAGTCAGCAGGAGGATGTGCGGCTGAGTCAGCAGGAGGATGTGCGGCTGAGTCAGCAGGAGATGCGATTGAGTCAGCAGCAGGGAATGCGGCTGAGTCAACAGGAGGAGATGAGGATGTGTCAGAAGGAAACACGAATGAAGAAGCAGCATGACGTGCGGCTGAGTCAGCAGGAAGTGAGGCTGAGTCAGCAACAGCAAGTGATGCGGCTGAGTCAGCAGCAGCAAGAGATGCGGTTGAGTCAGCAGGAACTGCGACTAAGTCAGCAGCAGCAGCCGGAGGTTCGGCTGAGTCAGCAGGAACTGCGCCTGAGTCAGCAGCAGCAGCGTGAGCAGCAGATGCGTGAGAGGATAAGGCAGCGGCAGCTGCAGCTGCAGCAACAGCAACAACAGCAACAGCTGCAGCAGCAGCAGCAGCTTCAAGCGAGGATGAGGCAGCAGCGAGAGGTGGAGCTTCGCGAGAAGCAGGGTCAGGAGCAGAAGCAGAGGGGCGAGGGGACTAAGAACATGCAAGATGTTGTAGAGCTGTCAGATGACAATGAGGATGAGGATGAGGAGGATGAGGAGGAAGATGGGGATGAGGAGGAAGGAAGCGAGGAGGAGGAGGGAGGGGAGGAGGAGGGAGGGGAGGAGGAGGAGGAGGATGAGGATGAGGACGGTGAGAGCGAGGATGGAGATGAAGAAGATGAAGAGGAGGAGGATGACGATGATGATGATGATGATGATGATGATGATGAGGTGAGATGGTAGTTTGCAGTTACCTCAATCTTGAGTTCGCAAGCACCTACAAACATATCTGTTAAGCTTTGTCAACACGTCCTAAACTGCATGTATTGTGCTGCCCGGTGTTGCTGCTTGCACTGTCTGTCGGCTGTTGTTGCAGGTAACCTCCCCAAATTGACAAGAGACGAGACGCAGCACGTGGAACGTGAACCAGCAGCTTTTGCACCATATAGGCTTCACCCGCATTGAAGTTTGAGTTCGGTTAGACTCTGTTTCTGAAAGGGTCATTTCAGCTTTTGTTTTCATGCCTGTCAGATTTTCACAGTTTTATTCCACTGGTGCCTTTTTTGTGCATCGCATCTAATTCTGTCACCCCTTCTCATCAGCCGCAAAATAGGCGCAGCATAGTGATTCGGTTCAATAAGCTTTCTTATTTTGTTCCCATCAACCTTTGGTCTATGTTTCCAAGTGTTTCTTATTAACTTGAGTAAAAAGCCCCCCTAGATTACTGTAGCCTGCAAGAATCTTACTAATCAGTACTTGTAACGGTCGAAGTGGAGCATCGCAACAGCGAGAACAGTTTCTAATGAGCCAGATCTTTCTCTGGTCAGAACATGTTACCAGGCTTGTTGTGTTCGACTTATCACGGTTCAGTACGGTGGCACTCGTTCAGTTACGGCAAACTCTTCAGCAGGTCTAATCGCCTGACAGATTAGTATTTTGTTGGTACAGCTTCTGCTTGCATTCTAGAATCTAGGTTCGCTGTAGGTGATCTCTAGGTTCTCCCACATCACCTCGAGATTCCCAGACCAGCCTTTACCCAGCTCTGGCGCATCGCAAATTTGCTTCTAGTTTCAGGCGTTCGCCAAGGCAATCTGCATTTCTCGCCTTGCGACGCGGATTGGCTCGAACGGGCCTTTCATCTCAGCCGCGAACTTTTGTCATCGTACGGCAGTCCGTCTGAGCTCTCGAAGGTCAGTAGATTCCGCCTAACCATAATCGTAATCCTTGATCCCAGTACCGTTTCGCAGCTCCGTCGATCTGCTGCCGCTCTTCGTTCCGTCCGTCGTCCGTTCCCCGGCTCTCACGTGCTCCCGAGCCGCTGTAGTCAAGTCCAATCGAACCAACGTCATATCTGAAAAGCGTTCCGGCTAGATTCTAGGTCAATCGTAGGGTGCCAAGCCATAGCGTCGTCACAGCTTCATCTGCGTTTGATGCAGGTGGTAACAATCCTCAACCCCAGAGCATCCCACGAGTTATCAAATTTCTCCATTTTGTCCGTCCGCCCGTTTGTCTTTTTTTCCATTTGTCCTTTTTTATTTTCTCGGATGTCCGTGTGCCAAATCTCCCGTCCGTTCAGCGTGCCAGGCGATGGCGTCGCCGCAGCTGCAGCCGCGGCCGCCTGTCGCCGGGGGAATGGCGGATTCGAGCCGGCCCGCAGCCGTGAACCAGGGCTACAGCCTCGCGTCCTCGTGGGAACACGTAGGTCAAGCAGGCAGCATATTCTGGTCCTTGGGAGAAGTTATATGGAGTTAAGATCAAGTCCAGGGGAGTGAGAAGGAACGGACAAGCACGGAATGGATGCTTCAAATGGAAGCGAATGCGGCCACTGGCCTTTCCGTGTGGCCTTCAAGACGATTCGAAAGTCACTTGTTTATGCTGGTTGTCTCGTTTATCATCTCCTCTTCCACAACCCTTCCTGTCCCTCCCACTCCTCACATATCCGCTCCAACTCTCAACCGATCCATTTTTCCCCACCTTTCCTCTCCCCAACCTCCCGACTATCTTCCCTCGAATCACGGCTCAGAATGCACCACTGTCAGAGCGACAGCTGGCGACAATCGCGATGCTCGCGAATGTGGCCGGTAACCGCTCCCTGCCGTCCCACCTGGTGCGTCTCGTGTCCAGCCCTGCTCGTTCCATCGTCTTCGCTCCCTGTGTCTCACCCTTGACACCGCTGGTCCTCCCACCTCCCCCGTTGCCTCACCTCTCCCTTCACCCCACCTCTCCCTTCACCCCATTGTCTCCCTTCAGCATTTCATCGGAAAATATTTTCTTACTCTTCCCTCCTCCACACTGCACCTGCCTTTTCCCACACTTCCCCAATAAAACCTTCATTTGCCTGCCTGCCTTTCCCTCTTCTCCCCCCCCACAACTTCTCCATGCTGTCTGTCACTGCTGCTGGATTTGACACGTCTTAGAACTCTCCTTTTCTCTCCGCCCCTTCGCCTCTCTTCGTCTCCCCCCTCTCCCTCCCCCCCCCACTCTTCCTTCCCCCCCACCCTTCCGCTTTACAATGTTGTCGGAACTAGGAAGCGGATGGGAAGGAGGGGCGGGAGGAGAGCGCAGCGACAGCAGCAGGCGCAGTGGGGGGAGAAGGAGGAGCGGACGATGGGGAGGAGGGCGAGGAAGAGAGCGATATGTTGCTGCTAGTCAACAGCCACCAGGTAACCCTCCTCGCCTTGTGCTCTATGTCGTTAAATATAGATACAATTTTGATAAATATATAATTATATATTCTTGCTAGTCAATTACCGTCAGCCACTCCTCCTCTCCTGCCTCTTTTTTCCTCCCTTCGCATGGTCCTCTGCCTGCCTTTCCCCGACTCCAGTTTTTGCTCTCCTCCACGGCTCTCTTCCCTCTCTCTTCCTCTCTCTGCCGTTTCTCCACGTACTGACCGCTCCCCTCCTTTGCATCTCTCTTCACGCCTCCTCCCTGTTACCCATTCTCTGCCCCTCTCTGTATCCTCCCAAAGTGTGTTTTGTTCTTCCCAGCAACCTGTCATTTTATCCCATCCCATCCCAACTGATCTCGTACCAGCCCATCTCACCGCAACTAACGCCACTCGTGCAACCCCATGCAACCCCTCATTAACCTATTTCGTATCGCCCCACCACCCACACCACTGTGTGCACCTTGCATCATACGCACAGTTCTACAAGTGGCATTCAGATCTTGAGACGGCAATGAAGTCAGAGGTAAGAGGATGGGATGCAGGGGAAAGCAGAGAGAGGAGAAGGTGGAGACGGAAAAGAGAAAGAAAGGGGATTTTAGGGAGGAAGGGGATGAGAGAGTGTGGGACGAGGGGTAAAGTAGGTCAATTGTGCCCTACTTCTCTAGGTTTCCCGTCGTAGAAGGAACGAGTAAGGAGACCTACTTCTCTAGGTTTCCCGTCCTTGTACCCAGTAATTGAAATATATCATATCACGCCTTATTCCTTCTCTCCCGTCCCCCTCACTCGCCGTATTCACGTCTTCATTCCCCTTCTCCTCGCGTTCCTGTCCTTTTCTCTTCTTCCCTCCATCACTGTCCCCTCTTCCCGTCCTACTTCCCATTCCTCAATCCCATCCCGCTTCCCATCCCCCAATACCATCCCCCTTCCCGCCCCCCCGCCTCCTTCTCCTCACGCTGAACCTTAATGCAGACAGAGGAGAAGTATCGGCAGTATGTGTGTGTGCTGGAAACGCATCTGCAGACGTGCGACCACATCCTCATGCAGGTGATTGGGGGGATAGGGAGAGGGTGAGAGAGGGGGGGAGGAGGGCGGGGGGGGGGGGGAGGAGGGGGGGGGGGTGGTTGAAGAGGGGAGAGGATGTTCTATTTGACCTGGTACATGTGTGTGTGCTGGAAACGCATCTGCACAAACATTCTCATGTAGGTGATTGGGGGGGTGGACAGGAGGACAGAGGCTGGACGGAATAGAAGATGAGGAGAAGGAGGGCCTTGGTTCAAGCGTTGCGGGGAAAGGGGATGTTGCTGAAAGAAATGTTTCCCTCTCCCACCTTCTCTTTTCTCTTGAAAGAAAGCCCCCCCCCCTCCTCCCCCACTTCCCCTTTCCTTGTTCCTCCTTACTCGTTCCTCATTCGCCTCCGCAGCTGGACAGCACGCTAGCACAATTCGATGAGCTGCAGGCGCAGCACCGGGGCGTGGCGAGCAAGACGCGCACGCTGCACGATGCGTGCGAGCGGCTGGTGGCGGACAAGGAGCGCCTCGTGGAGTTTGCTGATGCTCTGCGCTCCAAACTCAACTACTTTGAAGAGCTCGATAAGGTGGGATTAGGGGGGAATGGGGGGGGGGAGGGGGAAGGACAGGGGGGTGATGGGGGGGAGGAGGGGTAGAATGAGGGGGTTGTGGGTGTGAGAAGTGGGTTGGGGGCTGGTGAGGTGGGGAGGGTAAGAGGGGGGAGTAGCAGGGGCAAGGGCTGGAGTGAGGGGCAAGACGCGCACGCTGCACGATGCGTGCGAGCGGCTGGTGGCGGACAAGGAGCGACTGGTGGAGTTCGCTGATGCTCTGCGCTCGATAAGGTGGGGTTGTGGTGGGGGGGGAGGGAGGTAGAGGAGGGGAATGTGGGGGAAAGGTATGGTAAAAAAAAGGGAGGAGGGAGGTTGTGGGGTGGGATGGGGGGGGAGGGAAGGGGGAGACAGGCAAGGAGGAGTTGCAGCATCTTGCATGTGGTGCATCGTTTTTACTAGACATCAGAAGTTCTTTTTGCATGGTCGTCTTTACTGTGCATGTGGTTGAACTTCTTTGTGCATCTGAAATTAGGTTGCTTGCATACATGCTTGCCCGCCCCCCTGGCCCCCCTCCCCCTACACCCTCGTTCTCTGCTTCTCATTCTCTCTCCTTCGCTCTCGCTCTTTTGCAACTTCTCAATCGCCCTCACTCCTGCCCGTTATTGAAATCTTCGGAACATTACCACGTATGTTCCCCCAATCCCGTCCCAACCCATCCCACCCCACCCCATCCCATCCCACCCCGTCCCACCGCTCTATCACCACCTCCCCGGTGCGCCCTCAGATCACGGGTCGGTTCCACTCAGCGTCCATGAGTGTGAGCAGCTCACACTTCCTGCCTCTGCTCAAGCGCCTCGACGAATGCATCACGTGAGAGTCACACCTCATCTCATGCGTCTGCATCACCTGAGTGAGTGAGTGAGTGAGTCTCGCTGCAGCATGCGCGCCTAACACACTGCATGCGTCACATGAAACTCAGTGTCCATGAGTGTCAGCAGCTCGCATGCCTCTGCTCAAACCCCTCGACGAATGCATCACACGTGAGAGCTATGCTTGCCTACCTGCCACCAGACTCTTTCATGAAATAAGCTCCGACGCTCTGGCCTACAAGCCTTACCAGAGCTTCAAAGGAGCCTATTCCCCCCCTTTTCCCCCCCTTGCTTGCCTTTCGCGTCAGCTTCTCTCACCTTGAACCATTGTCCGTTTGAATCATATCACGGTAGTGGTTGTGACTTTTTTTCCATTCATCAAATATAATGTACGATTCTTCCCTGCCTGCCTCCCTGCCTCCGTGGGCCCCTGCATCCGTGAAGCTACGTTGCCTCCATATTCTTCGGGTTGTCTTGATATTCCTCTTCACTTCTTCGTCCTCCCCTCCTTCCATCCACCCCTGCATCCATGCAGCTATGTTGCCTCCAACCTTCAATATGCAGACGCCAATATCTACCTGGTCAAGTTCAGACAGCTGCAGGTGATTTGAGTAAATCTGATTTGATCTGATCCAATTCGGTATGATATGATCCACACATGCAAATTCCTGGTCGATTCAAAGTAAGTTCCAAGTTCACTCCAAAGGCACCAGCAGGTGACACAATGCGTGGGAGGAGCATGGGTGGGGTGTTTCTGAATTTTTTCAAAGGCACGATGCACGGTGCATGGGTGGAGTGGGTTGTGGTGTTGTGTGCATGTATCATGTATGGAGCCATGATACATACTCTTCCTGTGACGACTTTTGAGGCGCATCAAGAGTGGTGGTGTTGTGGGCATGTATCATATATGGAGCCATGATACATACTCTTCCTGTGTCTGCCTGTGCAAGATCTGAGTATTTCTGCCAGGTAACGCAAGTTTGAGCACCCTGCACCTTGGTGTGCTGTGTCCATGTGGTTACATTCGTCTCGTCCGTCCGTCCCTCGTCCTTCCTCTTGTCCTTCCCTCACCATTCTCCACCATCCCCTGTTACTGCATTCCCCCTCTTCCATCTATCTCTCCCTCCATCTATCCCTCCCTCCTTCCGTCCCTTCCTCCAGTCGAGGGCGCTTGGAATGGTTCGGTCCCACGTGCTCTCGGTGCTTAGAGCAGCTGCCAACCAGGTAGGTTCTTACTGATTAATTACCCCCTATTCTTATTGATTGATCATCCACTTTTCTCCGTATTGGTCTTAAATCACACGTGCATCTATGTAAGGCTTGCTTCTCATCCTTCTCTCGGTCGCTCTCTCTCCCGTACTATTTGATGCTGCATTTTGCGTCTCTCGCCCGCCCTCCTTCCCTCCCTCCCTCCCTCCCCCCTCCCATAGCACTTCTGACCCTTCCCTTCCCTCTTCAATGCACCCCTCACTCTTCCCACTTACTCCCTCTGTTCCCTATCGCTTCTGAGGCAATTTCTGAGTCAAACCCCTGTACCTTTCTGTGACCCGCGTATCACCCGGCATTTTTTCCTCTGTGTTTCGGTGCATCTCATAACTCTCTGTCCTCGCCTCTTTTCTCGCTCGCTCTTGGCCCCTGCAATCCCCGCTCCTCGCCCTTCTCCACTCCACTTCCCCCCCCTCTCCCCCCCTTTCCCCCTACTCTCCCTCCCTTCCCTTTTCCTCCTCTTCTTTTCCTCTTCCCCCCTTCCCCCCTTTCCCACTTCCCCCCTTTCCCACTTCCCCCCTTCCCCCCTTCCCCCCTTCCCCCCTTCTCCCCCCGCACCCCAATCCGCCTGTCAGGTGCTAGCGGCAATGAAAGAGAGCGGGGTGCCGTTGGGGGCGAGGGGGTCGGGGGGAAGCATATCAGAGGGTGCAGAGACTTCGCTCCTCTATGTTCGCTTCAAGGCTGCTGCTGGGGAGGTGAGCGGTGGAAGGTGGGGAAGGGGGGGAAAGGGGGAAAGGGGGAAAGGGGGAAAACGGGGGGCACTGTGGGGATGCGGGAACGGGAAAGGGGGGAGTTGGGTGATGGGGGTGAGGGATGGGGGGAGATGGGGATGGAAGATGTGGGGAGTGACCTTGGGGAGGGAGACAGGTTGACTGGGCGTTTTCTGTTTTCCTTCAAATACTTGAGGGAACTGGGAGTGAAGGTTGGCCAGTAGTTGTGAGGGTGACTGTAGCTGAAGGCTTCAACTCTCTCCTCTTCCCTGCTGTGCGTGCTGCTGTGCGTGCTCTCGTTTTCCCCACGGTGTGCACTGGCAGCTGAAGCCGCTAATGGAGGAGATGGAGGGGCGGGCGTCCAGGAGGGAGCAGCAAAGTAGAGTCTCCTTCCCTCACACTCCCACTCCTTATCACCCTCCCGTTTCTCCTTCCATTTCTCCTCCCGTTCCTCCTGCGGTGTGCACTGGCAGCTGAAGCCGCTAATGGAGGAGATGGAGGGGCGGGCGTCCAGGAGGGAGTACTCACAGCTGCTCTCGGACTGCCACACCATCTACTGCGAGCAGCGCCTTGCTCTGGTAGGCGCCGTACTGATGTTGCAGCTTGTATGGGTGCTTCTGGTGGTGGTATGGCTGCTGCAGCTGAGCCTGGCGGTGTCGATAGGGGCTGGTAGCAGCTGCTTGTGTGCGTTGAGTAGGAGAAAGGCACTCTCTGAGTTCTTTTGAGCTGCACTGGTAGGGCTCATTTTGCTGCTGCTGAGACTGCTGGGGCAGCTAAGGTTGCTGCTGATTTTTTAGTCGACTAACAAATGGGCAGATAAGGTTGCTGCACAGCGCTGCTAGTGTTGCTCCCTCGCACTCACCTCTTTCTCCCGAACCCCCGCTTCCCCACCCGCATCCAGATGTAATATGTTCTTGTCGCAGGTGCGGGTAATGGTGCAACAAGCAGTTCATAAAAAAAAAAAAAAAAAAAAAAAAAAACACACACACACACACACACACACAAAATCTCTTTAGAAGCTCAATGGATTTTTCTTCGCTTACTTTATACCTTTTACCCCCCACCTGTCTTTTCCTCTTCCTCCTCATCCCCCTTAATCCCCATGGAAGGTGCAGCCAGTGGTGCAGCAGCGCATCATAGATCCTTTTGTGTCAACTTAATCGCTCACCCTCACCCCCACCTCATTCCCTTCCCTCCCCCCTCTCCATATCCATCTCCCTCTTCTCCTCCCTTTCCCTCTCCTCAAACCCCCCCCCCCCCCTTCCCCGGTATCCCCATTGCAGGTGCAGCCAGTGGTGCAGCAGCGCATCACAGACTTCGCCAGGAGGGAAACTCTGCCCACTCTCACTCGCTCCGGATGCGCATACCTCATGCAGGTGGGGACGGAGGAGGGGTTGTGCTGGTTAAGGGGGTTCGCATGTGGGTGAAGGGCGGTTGTATGTGTGGGTGAGGGGGATATTTCGTTCAGGTGAGGGGGACATCGTATGCTGGTGTGGAGTTGGAATGTTGTGTGAGTGCAGAGGATACTTAGTGTTGGTGCATATGCACATGAGAAGTTGAATGCCACGAGACTCTCTCCTCTCTCCACTCTCCTCTCTCCACTCTCCGAATGGTCCTTCATTGTGATAACAAGCAATACAACGAGCTAGTTTATAAATCAAGCACAGGCATGCAAGGGGGCTGCCTAAGGCAGTTCAAAGTCCGGCTCGAGGATGTGCATAAGGTCGCCCGTGTCGAGGGGCTCGTCCTGGTAGGCAGATGTGGGTGCCTCTGCCTCAAAGGCCGCCAGGGTCTTGGCGCAGAGGGCATTTGCTTGGCCCCTCTGCAGTGCGATCGACCACCGCTGTCGGTAAGAATGGAACAGCTTCAACGCCTCCCGTGAGGTAGGCTCAGCGTTGTGGAGCCTTTTTGCCGCCAGATTGGCGCATAAGTGCATGAATTCGAATACCCCGGGGGAGCAGCACCCGTAAGTCTCTACTGCCATTGCAATAAACCCCACCCATTGCCGCCGGCTGCGGTATTTATACTCCTTTGCCCTCGCTGCCTGTCGAGCAGCCCACCCCACACCCCGCTGAGCCGTCTCGTCTTGGGTGGAGATGGGATCGGTCACTGTCACGTCGATTAGCCACACCGCCCCCGAATCTGGGTGGCGGATTGCGAGGTCCGCCTTGAGGCCCTCCACCGGTGTGTAGAGTGTCGTTTCCTTTTGAACCGCGAAGCCCGACTCAGCTGCAATCCGCTCGCACTCATCCCTGAGCGCATGGTGAGTTCCCGTTCGTCCCTTCCCCGTTCCGCACCGCAGTAAGTGATTGGGCAGGCGCGGGTCCGGTATCTCCACCTGTTTGTTGCAGTCACAGCAGCCCGGGACGAGTTGCGGTAGGCCGAGGCGGAAGGCGGCCATTGGCGTGAAGTGATGGGACGGAAGGCGGTGGGGTTTGGTGATCGGCAGGGACATGAGCCAGTCCCCTGCCCCCGGCCCGATGAGGGATTGCAGTCTCTGCGTGTGGCCGAGCAGGGGGTTCAGGTCCATCCTCCTACTCTCCTGCGTCTGTAGCGCGGCCCTGGTTGCGTGGACGTGGAGGGAGAGGGAGTGCTGAAGCTTTGCGAGTTCCCCGCCCTCCCGTAGTTTTTGGAGGATAGCGACGGCCTCCGTGGGCAGCGTTTCTTGTGCAGCTGCTAGCCGCAGTGGGAGGCGAGAGGTGCTGGTGTCATCCGCGACGAAGAGGGGTAGAAGCGCCGCCACTTGGGGGTGAGAGGGGGAGGAGGGCGAGGAGAGGAGGTGGAATGCGGCTGCAGATGAGGCGAGGAAGCTCGCAAACCGCTCCACGGCAGGGTCGGCTATTCCGAGTCCGCCAAGGGTGGGGGGGAGGGAGGCTTGCCGCCAAGCCCTTAGCTGTTCGGGGCGGTGGCGTGGCAGGGGGATGGCGGCGGAGGTCAGGAAAGTAAGGAAGTTGCCTTCCCCCCAGGAATCCCACTCCGTGAGGGGCAGCGAGTCGGGAGGTGTGGTGCGGAGGATGTAGGAGATGCGGCGGCTGATGCACCGCGTGAGGAGGAGGAGGCATAGCTGTGGATCCAGCTGGGCGAGGAGAGGTGATGGCTCCACCGCCTCAGCCATTCTGGTGCGAAGGAAGGCGGCACAATCCTCTGGCGGCCCCACAGGGCTCCCCAGCACCCTGAGTCCGGAGGATGACCAGGGTACGCCTGGGGGAAGGTGCTGTGGCCGAGGTGTGGTGGGGGACCAAGCCGCGCACTTGGAGGCATTGTGGCGGAGGCCGAGCGGAGAGAGTGCCGCGGTGAGGCTGTTGAAGGCGTCGATGCAGTCGGGTCCTGGGCCGAGCAGTGTGATATCGTCGGCGTAGGCGAGCACGACGACTGCTGGGTGAGCGGCGGCCACTGCCTTTAGGGCAGGGTGGATTGCGGCGGCGAAGAGGAGGGGGCCCATTGGGTCTCCTTGGCGCACCCCTCTTGAAGAAGAAAGGTTGTCGTCGTTGAAGGCGGCGTCGATGACGAGTTCCGAAGGGGCGCCATAGGAGCTTCTAGTGAAGGGGACGAGGAACTCCAAGGGTGAGTCTCGGAGGCCCTCGAAGACAGAATCCCTCTCCACCGTGTTGAAGGCGTTGGTGATGTCGATTTGGAGGGCGAGATGGCTGTCGTTTTGCTCGAGGTAGGTTCGTGTGGCATGAATGATCGCCTCCGCACCGCCAGGCGTGGCAACACCGTACTGGATGGGGGCGAAGTGGCGGCGAGCGAAGGGTGCGGCGAGGAGGAGTGCCGCCTTGGCGATGACGCGGTGGATCACCTCGCCCACCGCTATGGGGCGGGTTCCGCCCTCAGGTTTGGAGAATGCTAGAAGTCTGGAGGCGGTGAGGAGCCTCGCCGTCTCCTTGGAGAGTTTGCCCGCGAGCGCCGTGTTGATCAAGGCCAGCAGGTGTTCTGCCACGTCTGGGTGGCGGGCGGCTGCGTTCCTTACGTGTTCGAAAGTCATTCCACTGGGACCTGCCCCCACACCGTTCTTGCATGTCGAGAGAATTCGCCGCAGGTCCCTTAGCGTGATTGCTGGTGCAGAGGGGGTGGAGTGGGTGTCAAGCCATTGGGGTGGTTCTGTTGTGCTCAGGGGGTGTCGCAGGCGTAGGGCCTCGAGAATTTCAGGTGAGTTGGGGCTCACAGGTGTACTTTCCAGGGCCTGGAGGGCCTTGGCCAGGCTACCCTTTTTCGCCAGTCCTGTCGCCCTTGCCAGTTTCCCCGCGTCATCAGGTGCGTGCCTGGGTCCAGGTGGGAGGTTGATCGCGTCGCAGGCGTTGGAGTAAAGTTCGCCCCACCTCCCTTGCCGAAAAAGGAGCAGGCGTGCAGATATCGCGGCCCAATCAGGTTTGCGGGTTGAACTGGCACAGAGTGTCAGGCGTGGGAGAAAGAGGAGGAGGGTCCAGGCTTGGAGGGACTCAGGATCCCGAGCCAAGCGCAGGAGGGGGGTCAGGAGACAAGTGGCGAAGGTGTCCCGGATAATCCTCGGGAAGTGACGGGCTAGGGGGGGTTGGCGAGAGTCGCGAAGCACCTGGATGTCCCAGGTGCTTATTTCCGCGAACTTCGCCGCGTCGTCAGCCAGTTGCTTTGGTGAAAAGTGGGGGAGGGGTGTTCTCTCTGGCGGGGGGTGATTGGCCTGGTTGCCTCGGGGCCCAGCTCTGGGGGCGGCGCGGTTTGCAATTTGGGGGGAAATTGCAGATGCGCCTCGGCGAATTTGTCGACCCCCCCCACGATGTGCTTCCTCTCCAACTCCTTGTTCATCGTCTTCCTCGGGCTCTGAACTGGGGATACCCTCTTGCGAAGGGGTATAAGGTTGGTCACCCGATCTCTCATTCCTCAGTTCCTCGATCTCTCTCTCCCCTCCGTCAGCCCTCCCCTCCAGCTCCCGTTCGCCCAGCGCCGCGTCGCCCCGTAGTTCGTCTCCTTGGGCGATCAGCCGTCTCGCCAGTTGGGCGTAGCTTCCGCCTCTCGTCAGCGGGCTCCCGCGGCCTCCTCGTCCACGCCCGCCTCCACGCCGTCCTCTCGCGCTGCCTGCCCGACCCCGCGGTTGTGTCGCGTTCGCTCGCTGAAGTTGAGGCGACCACCACTGCAATTGATCCGCCGCGTTTCTGAGTGATGCCGGGCTCGCGTACGCGAGGGCGGGAGAGATCCCCGTCCCGTGCGCATGGCGAGCGGCGGAGCCCGTCGCCGTGGCGGCCTGCCCAATCGCCGGCGTTATGGCCGGAGGTTGCCCGCGCGTCTGAGCGGTCAGCAGTGACCGCGCCAGATCCGTCCCGCCCGGCGCCGTCGCCAATCGGCTCTCCCCGCCGATCCTCCCAGCGTCAGCAGTCTCCCCGACGCGCCTCCTCTCCTGCGCGATCTCAGCCGTCGCACAATCATGGGCGTCGAAATCAGCCCCGTCGTTATTGGCGCGGACGTCATCCTCAGCGGCAGGCGGCTGACCCCGCGCCTGTTGCGGCCGCTGCGGCGACGGCTGCGGGGGCTGCTGCGGCGGAGGCTGTTGAGCGCGCACTTGCGCCCCTCCATGATGCCGTGCGCGGCGCACTGGCGCCGGGTCGCGCTCCCGTTCCTGTGATCGAGCGTCCGATCCCTCCCCCGTTGGATCTGTCGCCGAATCCTCCCGCCGCTGAGAATCCTCCCCCTCCCGTTCCTCAGCTGCCGGCGCCCCCTGCGCCGCCTCCCGGCGTTCCATTCCCCCCGCATGCTGGTCCGCAGGGTGTGTGGAGCATGGTTCCCGGCGGTCAGCCCGTGTTCCATCCGTTTCACAACGGTGGTTTTGCTCCGCCCCCTCTCCCTGGCCAACTTCCTCTCCACCCGCCGCAATTCCCGCAACAGCCCGCGCCTCCTCCCGCTCCTCCGCTTCCCGGTTTTGAGTCCGCCTCGGGGCGGGCTCCATTTGTGCCCATGCCTCTGTCGGCGGGTGGTTCCCTTCCAGCGCTTCCGCGTGCGATGGCGGGAGCATCAGAGGGGATGGACTTTGATGCGGGGGAATCGTCGGCCGCGCCGGTGCCTCGGGAGATCCGCCCTCTTCGACGACGCTCCGCTGGTATCCGTTTGAGCTCCCGCGTGATTGTGGAGCGGATTCGGGCGCGGACCCGGGCCCCTCCTCGCTCGATGCAGTTGTCGAGTGATGTGCTTGTACGCTTGTGGCACGGTCGTGCGTTCGTCGAGCTGGTGGCGAACGTGATGGAGACCGCAGTGGGGGCGATGGGAGATTGCCCTGCAGCACTGTGTCGGATGGGTGCTGATCGGACCGAGCGGTGCCAGCTGGCTGTGCGCGACTTGGTGCACGAGCTTGAGCGGACGCTGGTTGGGCCCGGCGGGGAGTTGGGCTTGGGCCCTGGCGAAGCCTACGTCCTCGAGGATGTGGGGATGAAGGTGCAGTCGGCATCAGCTGTAGCTGTCTTAGACGGCTGCGTGTCAGCGCTACGCCTTGCAGATAAGGCTGTTGCCCGCGTGCTTGAGTTGGCGGGTGTGACAGAGTTTGTGTAGGCCGCTCTCGGCGGCGGTAGCATAGCGATTGGGGCACGCTGCTGCCCGTGATGACTGGTAGTCCAGCCATTGATGTCTAGCTTGTTGGTCTTCTACTTGTTTCTGCTACTGTCTTCATTCTGTTTGTGCTTGTCGTCCCCTAACGCGCGGCCGAAGGCCGCGCCTGCGAGCGGCGGCGGCCGAAGGCCGCCGGCGCGAGCCGTTGATACAAGAGAAGGAAATGAACTATGCTGAGAATAATGAGCTCGGGAGCATAGCTCCCGGGCTTAAGTACTAGGCCAAGGGAGGGACTCTCCCTCTCTCCTCTCTCCTCTCTCCTCTCTCCTCTCTCCTCTCTCCACTCTCCACTCTCCTCTCTCCTCTCTCCTCTCTCCTCTCTCCACTCTCCTCTCTCCTCTCTCCACTCTCCACTCTCCACTCTCCTCTCTCTCGCTCTCTCCACTCTCCTCTCTCTCGCTCTCTCCACTCTCCTCTCTCTCGCTCTCTCCACTCTCCTCTCTCTCGCTCTCTCCACTCTCCTCTCTCTCGCTCTCTCCACTCTCCTCTCTCTCGCTCTCTCCATGTGTGCAGGTGTGCCAGTCAGAGCACCAGCTATTCGACCACTTCTTCCCTGCAACCTCTGCTGACACCTCCAACCTCGCCCCTCTCATCGACCCCCTGTGAGCCCCCACTCTTTGAGTCTGTTGTTGCTGCTGCAACTTGAACCCCACACACACATCTTCATCACTCGTCACGGATGGTGAGTACAGACATGCAGCACGCTCATTGCGAGCAGCACGCTCAGCCTTGTGTGCCCATTTTGGAATTCGCAAAAGTGACACAAACCAACAACAAGGCCTGCAGCTTCCAAGCACTATCGCACCCTCCCTCTTCGTCCCCCTACACCCTTCTCCCATCACCACTTCCCCCCCACTTCCCTAACTTCCTCCCCCCAGCCCACCTTCCCTGCCGCCCACTCCCCCCGGCCCACCTTTCCCTGTCTCATTCCTTTGGTCCCCACCTACCAAACCACTCCGCACTGCCCCATTCCCCCTGTCCCCCCCCCCCCCCCCCCTTCTCCCCTCCCCTACCCACCCGTCCTAATACGACGCCCTGCGCCCGCGCTTCATCCACAGTGCGGACGTGGACGTGCGATGCGAGCTCTGATGCACTCTGCCCTGCCCCATTCCCCTTGCCCCCTGCCCCTTCCCCCCCTTTTCCCCCAGCTGCGCCGTCCTGTACGATGCCCTGAGGCCGCGCTTCATCCACAGTGCGGACGTGGACGTGCGATGCGAGCTCTGATGCACTCCCCCCTGTTTCCCCCCTTCCTTCCCTTCCGCTGCTCCCCCTCCGTTCCCCCTCCCCCCCAGCTGCACGGTGCTATACGACGCGCTGCGCCCGCGCTTCATCCACAGCGCAGACGTGGACGTGCGATGCGAGCTCTGATGCACTCCCCCCTGCCCCCTTCCCCATGTTTCCCCTCTCTCTTCAGGTGCACCGTCTTATATGACGCCCTGAGGCCGCGCTTCATCCACAGTGCGTACGTGGACGTGCTCTGTGACCTCCCTGATCCCCCTCCGTTCCCTCTCCCCCCTGTCTCCCTCCTGTGCTCCCCCCTCCCTATCGTTAGCTGCACGGTGCTATACGACGCCCTGAGGCCGCGCTTCATCCACAGCGCAGACGTGGATGTGCTGTGTGAGCTCGTAGACATCGTGCACGCCGACCTGCTGCACCACCACCTGCCCTCGCGCTCACCTGCCCCCCTTCCCACCTTCCGTCCAGCCCACTCCCTTGGCCTCCTGCCTTCAACGCACTCCCCTCTGCCCCGTTCCCCCTGTCCCCCTTCCCACCCTCCCCCCCTCCGTCCGCCCTCCCCTTTCCCCCCCCTGCCCTCCCCTCCCCCCCCCAGCTGCACCGTCCTATACGACGCCCTGAGGCCGCGGTTCATCCACAGCGCCGACGTGGACGTGCTGTGTGAGCTCGTAGACATCGTGCACGCCGACCTGCTGCACCACCACCTGCCGCGCCGGGGCGAGTGGGTGGCTGCCCTGCGGCCTACCATTGCCAGGATCCTAGCGGATTTGAGGCAGAGGCTGATCTTCCAAGCTCACACGTTCATGCGGGATGAGGTGGGTTGCTTGGATGCCTGGGACAGAAGGGAAGGGAAGCAGGGTAGAAAGACTGGGTGGCTGTGGCTGTGGCTGTGCTGCCCTGCGCCCCACCATTGCCCGCATCCTCGCAGAATTTTGGCAGAGGCTCTATTTCAGTGTCCATTCGTGAACGTGTGGGTTGCCAACTTGCCAGCACACACACACGTTCATTCGTGATGAGGTGGGTTGGATGGAGGGAGAGGAGAGGGTGGATGGATTGAACGTGAGCAAGGTAGCAAGAGTGGGTGGATGTGCTGCCCCGCTGTTTTTCCCCTTTCTCCAACAAATGCCAGATCTCCACGTATCCTCTTCCCCCTGGCAAGCTGCAGCGAACAGTGAGGACCAGCTGTTGTTCATTTCAACCGTTCTCAAACTATCTGTCTGTACCTCTTTCCTCCCCCTCCGTCCCCCCCCAGATCTCCAACTACGTGCCCACCAGTGGCGACCTGGACTACCCTGGCAAGCTGCAGCGAGCCGCTGCTAAGTCTGCTGCTGCCGCTAAGTCCAGCTACGTGCCCTCCTGTGAGGACCAGCTGTTGTTCATTTTAACCGTTCTCAAACCATCTGCACCGCTTGCTTTGTCCCCCTCTCCCTCCCCCCGGATCTCCAACTACGTGCCCACCAGTGACGACCTGGACTACCCTGGCAAGATGCTGTGAGGACCAGCTGCTGCTCATCGTCTATTGTTCTCAACCCATCTGTACCCCTCTCCTCCCCCTCCGTCCCCCCCCAGATCTCCAACTACGTGCCCACCAGTGACGACCTGGACTACCCTGGCAAGCTGCAGCGAGCCGCTGCTAAGTCTGCTGCTGCCGCCGCTGCTGCTGCACAGGTGTGGGTTGTGTGGGGCGTGTGGTATGAGGTGTGGGGCATTGGGTGTGGGGTGTGGAGTGTGGGGTTTGTGAAGTGTCTGGTGTGTGTCCCTCTCCCCCTTCTCCCTCCCCATCCGTGCCCCTCCGCTCCTTCCTTTCTCATAGTACCTCTTGCTCTCCTCTCCATCTTTTCAAACCTCGCCCACGTTTCTCCTCTCCCTCTCCCTCTACCCAACAATCATAACCTCTGCCTTTCTTTCCCCTTCCTTCCCAGAAGTTATACTCCTTGTGAGCGAATGTTGAAATTAATATAGGAATTCCCTCTTTTTACCTTCGCTGCCAGGAGGGTGACCCGCAGGCAGCAGGAGCGGAGGAGCAAGGGGGAGACTCGTACGCAGGGTGGTACCCCCCTCTCGAGAGCACACTTGCATGCCTCTCCAAGCTCTACCGCTGTGTGGATGCTGACATCTTCACAGGGCTGGCGCAGGTGAGGGGGAGGTGAGGGTGCAGTGAGAGGGTGAGGTTGAGAGTAAGGGTATGAATGAGGTGTGGCAATTGCGGATCCCCCCTCTCGAGAGCACTCTTGCATGCCTCTCCAAGCTTTACCGCTGTGTGGATGCTGATATCTTCACAGGGCTGGCGCAGGTGAGGGGGGAAGGGTTAGGCTGACTGACCCGCAGGCAGCAGCAGGAGCGGAGGAGCAGGGGGGGGACTCGTATGCAGGGTGGTACCCCCCTCTAGAGAGCACACTTGCGTGCCTCTCCAAGCTCTACCGCTGCGTGGATGCTGATATCTTCACAGGGCTCGCGCAGGTAAGAGGGGAGGTGAGAGGGAGGGGGGGGGGGGGGGGGGGGGTGGGGGTTAGTTGAGAGACGAATATCTGAGTGCATGTGGTGAAGTTTCTGCTGACGGTTCCGGTAGGCATGTCATTCCTGATACAGGCGAATGGTTTCCCGGTTTTAGTGCATGCATTCCAGTCATGCGCTTGCCTTTTTTATGCAAATGAATCTCTGTGCTTGTCTTGTTTCCCTTGAGCGTTTGTTTTCACTGTCCTTGTCTTGCATGCTTTTCTGCCTCCCATGATATCTCTTTTGTTTGTTCTTACATGTGCGCTTCCACTGCTCTTGTGTGTTTTCTTTTGTGGTGACATGACAGGAAGCAGTGGCAGTGTGCTCTGACTCCATTCAGGTAACACTGGGGTTGGGAATTCGGGTTATTACTTCATCCGAGTTGCCAATTCATCATCATACCACCAACTATCATCACACACGTACCTAGCCATTCAGGTAACGCTGTTGAATCCTTCTAATTTCCATCTGAGCTGCCATCACACGAGCAGCTGTCATAACACTTGCTCTCCATGCTTCCACCCTGCTGTTCCTCGCTATTCTTCCATGCTTCCATGTTGCTACATTCTGTCTTTCCACTAAAATGTCCCCTCTCTCCGTCGCCTCCTCTCTCCGTCGCCTCCTCTCTCCGTCGCCTCCTCTCTCCGTCGCCTCCTCTCTCCGTCGCCCCCTCTCTCCTTCTCTCCATCTCTCCTTCTCTCCATCTCTTCCTCTCCTCTCTCCCTCTCTCTATCTCTCCTTCTCTGCCTCTGCCCCCCACCCCCCCCCCCCTCCTCTGTGACCAGCGGGCTAGCAAGGTGGTGGCACGCAAGGCGAGTCCCATGGATGGGCAGCTGTTCCTCATCAAGCATCTGCTCATTCTCCGAGAGCAGGTGTGTGTGTAGGAGGGTGGAGGGGGGTTTGAAGGGGGAATGGGAAGAGGGGGGTTGGGGTTTCAAGCACCCCATGGATTGGCCAGTGTTTTCATTGACGCGTTAAGTCCTTAGCGAGATGGGATTTTGAGATGTCTCAAAATACTACTTTTATCACGTGGTTTCATGCACCCCGTGGATTGGCCAGTGTTTTCATTGACGCGTTTAGTCCTTAGCGAGATGGGAGTTTGAGATGTCTCAAAATACTACTTTTATCACGTGGTTTCATGCACCCCGTGGATTGGCCAGTGTTTTCATTGACGCGTTTAGTCCTGATGGGAGTTTGAGATGTCTCAAAATACTACTTTTATCACGTGGTTTCATGCACCCCGTGGATTGGCCAGTGTTTTCATTGACGCGTTTAGTCCGTAGCGAGATGGGATTTTGAGATGTCTCAAAATACTACTTTTATCACGTGGTTTCATGCACCCCGTGGATTGGCCAGTGTTTTCATTGACGCGTTTAGTCCTTAGCGAGATGGGATTTTGAGATGTCTCAAAATACTACTTTTATCACGTGGTTTCATGCACCCCGTGGATTGGCCAGTGTTTTCATTGACGCGTTTAGTCCTTAGCGAGATGGGAGTTTGAGATGTCTCAAAATACTACTTTTATCACGTGGTTTCATGCACCCCGTGGATTGGCCAGTGTTTTCATTGACGCGTTTAGTCCTTAGCGAGAAGATGGGTATGGAAAAAAGGGGGGGAGGGGAGGGATAGGGGTTGTTCGGGAGGGTGGGAGAGGTACCGAACTTCCTGCATGTGTGTGCATGTGAACACACACACACACACACACACACACACACACACACACACACACACACACACACACACACACACACAGGCACACGCAAAGGCATGCACGCGTGTGCCTGCCCTTGTTTCTATAGCACTACTCTATACATATCTGTCTGTCTGTCTGTGTGTCTGTGGCAATGCAGATCGCCCCCTTCGATGTGGAGTTTGCAGTCACTATAAAAGAATTAGACTTGGCTTTCTGAGGCGCCTCAAAAGTCATCTTCTGTCTGTCGGTCTGTGCTGTGCTGCTCCCATGCAGATCGCCCCCTTCGATGTGGAGTTTGGAGTCACGATAAAAGAACTGGACTTCGCACACACACTGGTACGCTTCCCGCCACCACCTGCGGTTACCACTCCCTTTCCTAGCACCCTCCTTTCCTTCTCCCTCTTCACCTCCCTTCGCCTTCCTTCCCTTCACTTATACCTCGTCCGCTCCTCCCGTGTCTCCTTAGCTTCCTCTCTCGTCTGTCATCTATCTTTTTCCCCCTCCCCTTCCCCCTCCCCCTGTCCCTCCCTCTGCATCCTCCATCCACTTGTTCCATCCCCACCCTGTCTCATAAGGTCCAGTCTAGTTCAGTTCTGCAAGTGGGATTTGTACTAGCCTAACAACACCCACGTCTGCCCTCTTTTGTTCGCAATCTTGCTCCTCCTCCCTCCTCCCCGACCTCTCCTCCCTCCCTTATCCTCCCCCCCGTATCTTCCCCCCCCAGTCAACTTCCGGGTTCCTCTCCCCCCTTCTCATGCTCCCCCCTTCATCTCCCCCACTCCCCTTTCTCTTTCCCCCGCTCACCCTTCTCTTCCCTCCGGTACACCCTCCTCCCTCTCCGTCTAGACTGAGACGTCTCAAACGCCTTCTCCACTTCCGTTTCATCCCACCTACTCCCTCCCTCCTCCCCCACCCCTCTCTCTCCCCCCTGCGCCAGGATCACTTGCGGCGAGTGCTGAGAGGGCAGGCGTCCTTCCTCAGCCTCACCTCAGGCGAATCCTTCCTGCGCTTCTCACCCCGGGTCACCGAGAGCCACATCGACGCCAAGAAGGTATGGATTGCTAGTCAGGCCTGCCTTGAGTCATGTACCGACCGAATCACGTGTGGAATCATGAATGGAGTCATCTTTCGGAGTAACACATCGAGTCATGTATTGAAAGGTATTGAGAGCATGTAAAGTGGAAGTTCCTTCGCTTTCTGCACTTCTCCCCCCGAATCACTCTCGGCCACATCGACGCCAAAAAGGTGTCATGATATGCCATTTTGCCCCTACCCTCTCTTCTTCTCTCCTCTCCCCCCACCAGGAGCTGGAGAAGCTACTCAAGTCCACGTGTGAGCAGCTCATCATGTCCGTCACCAAGCTCTCCTTCATCACCACGGTGCCTCCTTCCTTCCCACCCTCCCTTTCCCTGCCCTCCCCTCCCCGTGCTGCCCCCGTCCTCCCGCTCCTTGCCCCATCAGGAGTTGGAGAAGCTACTCAAGTCCACGTGCGAGCAGCTCATCATGTCCGTCACCAAGCTCACAGTCGAGCCCATCCTCTCCTTCATCACCAAGGTGCCTCCTTGCTTCCCCTCCCTCCCTTCCTCTCTATCTCACTACCTCAGTTCATCTCCTCCCTCCCTCCCTCCCTCCATCCCTCGCTCCATCCCTCCCTCGTTACCTCCTTCACTCCCTCCCTCACTCACTCACTCTCTCCCTCCCTCCCTCCCTCACTCACTCCCTCCCTCCCTCCCTCCCTCCCTCCCTCCCTCCCTCCCTCCCTCCCTCCCTCCTTGTGCAACCAATGAATTCCCGTTTCAGCAAAACAAAAGGAAATTAAGCATCCTTTACTCATCACCAAGATGCTCTCTTCCCTCTCGTTTTAATTGACTCAATAGTAAACCACCCACAAAAGCCTTCAAAACCCTCCGCTATTCCCTTTCCCTGTGCCATCAGGTCACAGCGGTCCGTGTGGCAGGGTCAGCTCTCGCACTCAAGGCCAGAGGACGAGATGCAGCAGCAGGAGGAGGGGACGGGCATGGGAAGGGGAGAGGCAGGGGAGGGGGCGAGGGGCACGCAGTCTGTATTTAAGGTGCCTCATACATTAACGTCCCTCTGTTGACTTCCCCCGTGCCATCAGGTCACAGCGGTCCGGGTGGCAGGATCAGCTCTCGCACTCAAGGCCAGAGGGGGAGACGCAGCAGCAGCAGGAGGGGAGGGGCATGCCGGGCAACGCTTGCTGAGGGAGCAAGCGTTTGCCTCGCCAGAAAAGCTGGCTCAAGTGGTGAAACAGGTGAGCTGACATGGCTGTTTGAATCTTTTATCATTAGATGATGTTAACCTTTGCAAGAGTCGGTGGCTCAGGTGAGAAGGCTGTGGGAGGAACAAGTGTGAAAAGGATGTTAACCTTATCTCAAGTGTGAAACAGTCTCTGTACCTGCGGCATGTTGCTTGCTCCTCACAACGCTGCTCGCTCTGCCTCGCTTGCCCCGTTCACCCTCTTCCTTCCATCCACCACCTCTCCCATCCCTCCCCCCTTCAGGTGGACCAGGTTCTCAAGGTGTCGCTTCCAGATGGTGTAGCCGACATTTCTCTCACTCCCTCCCTCCCATTCACAATGCTGTTCACTCCTCACAACGTTGCTTTCTGTTTCTCCTTTGCCCTTCTCTCCCCGGTCCATTCCCCCTCTCTTTTCAGGTGGACGAGGCTCTCAAGGTGTCGCTGCCAGAGGTGGTCGCCAACATGGCTCTCTACCTGCCGCACGCTGCTGCTGTTCGCACCTCACAATGCCGCTCACTCCGCCTCGCTTGCTCCTCTTGCCCTCATCTTTTCCTCTCCCCACCTTCAGGTGGACGAGGCTCTCAAGGTGTCGCTGCCAGAGGTGGTCGCCAACATGGCTCTCTACCTGCCGCACGCTGCCACTCGTGCCATCCTCTTCCGACCCATCAAGTACCGCCCCTACCTCTCTTCTTTGCTTTTGGTCTCCCTCGCTCTCTCTCCCTCTTGTTTTGAGTCGACTTAAAACACGCTGCCACTCGCGCCATCCTCTTCCGACCCATCAAGTACCGCCCCTCCCTGTCTTCTTCTGGTTTTCTTTCCCGCTCTCTTTTTCGCACTTTTGGTCTTGCTACCTCAATTCCCCCCCCCCCCCCCCATCTCGACTCCCCTTTATCTCTCTTGCTCAAACTCGCACTCACACCTACACACACACAAACTCATGCATATGCACACACACACGCACACACACACACACACACATACACACACACACACATACACACACACACACACACGCACTCCATCTGTCTGGTTGAGTATTCAGCAAGGAGCATTCACACTCAAACGTAGTACCCAAGAGAAGAGCCCAATTGCCTTGTTGATCATGACAACTCTAGTGCACAGAGCCCTAAACGATAGTGCTGCCTGCTGCAGCAGCCACTATTGATCATGGCTTTACCTGTGCTGCGGATGAAACTGTATTGTCCAACCAAACATGTCAAGTACTGTTCTTTTCTATATCTGCTTTCTCCCGTCTGCCTTGCATCCTTGCATCCCCGCTTATGCCCGCCCTTCTTCCGTCTGTGCAGGTGGAATATCCTATACGCAGTCGCTGTTCGGCTCAGAGTACACAGAGGAAGATAGGGCCGTGGTGGGGTTCATAAGGCTCATGGGGCTCACAAACCTTTTTCCTATCGCTGCCTGGCATCTGCCCTGCCCTGCCTCCTCGTGTATCTGTGCAGGTCGAACATCTTAGAGGCACATGCGCAGCTGCAGTCACTGGTCGATTCAGAGTACACAGAGGAGGACAGGGTCGTGGTGGGTCTCATAAGGAGGAGCCTTACAAACCCTTCTCCTATCTGCTCTGCCCTGCCCTCTCTCCTTGCATCTGTGCAGGTCGAACATCTTAGAAGCACATGCGCAGCTGCAGTCACTGGTCGATTCAGAATACACGGAGGAGGATAGGGCCGTGGTGGCTCTCATCTCCTCCGCTGATCTCGTCACCTTCCTAGATGGCCTCACCTGAACACTTGGAAAGGAGAATGTGCACCGATAGTGGGTTGATATGATGCATTGTGTGCTCGCTAAGGTTGTGCACTGTGGTTGCTGCTGTGCTGACTGAGTGGTTTCATTCTGAACAATTGGGAAGCTGCTTTTTCCAAGTGTCAGTTGCGCATACTGGCTTACTCCAGCACTCTGCGTCAGCAAAAATAAGGTTGTTGGGCAGGCAGGGTCGCTTATTTTATCAGTGTAAATCACCCTGATACCCTGATTACCAGGGTGGTTTTTGGTGGTCACACTGATGCTTGAGGGTAATTTTTTTGGGAGCTTGATTTTCCCTGATGTGCCAGGGTTTACGATTAAGGCACACTGTCGCCTCAGGGTTGCCGTTCCTCTTAGCGTGTTTTACCCTAAAGCGAGTACCACCCTACCCCCGCGCCCCCCCCCACCCCCCCCCCCCCCCCCCTTCCCCTAACCCCCCGACCCCGTAACCCGGGATTCCCGATTGCCAACTGTCGAAACTGAAAATTTTGGCACGACATTGTCAAATTACAATTGTATCTCTAGGCTACAGTAGGGTCACTCCTTAGTGAGTCCAAGACTTTAGGGTTAGGTTTCCCCTACTTGTACTCACCTCTTGCCTAGTTCACTCATTCATTCCTAGTTCTATTCTTGACATGTTATCAGAGTAGGAACCGTTCCTACATGGGCCCACCGTTCCGCCTAGTGGTAGCGCCATGCCCTACACAGTAGCCAGCGCGCTGGCGCCCCTAGCTCTCACTGTCGCGACCCTTGCAGCCCGTGCGCTGCCCCTGCGACCGCGCTGCCCCTGCAGCCGTGCTCGCCCCTACGACCGTGCTGTCAGAATGTGTCTAGCCTGCAGTGGGGTACTCTATAGCGAGTACAACCCAATTAGGGTTTCCTATATGTATCTCTACTGCTGCTAGTGAAAACTCCTCTTTTCTGTTTCTAGCTTCTGCCTGCTATTTCGACATGGTATCAGAGCAGGTCGACCCTCCTGGGTCGATCCTGTGGATGGGCCCGCCACCTAATGCTTCCGCTGCTGTCCTGTCTATCGCGCGCCCCGGGCGCGCGACGTGTTCTGCTTGCCGCGCGCTCGGGTGCACGGCGTATTTTTCATCCTGCCGCGCGCTCGGGACGCGCGGCGGTTTTCTGCCCCGTCGATCCGCGCGTCGCCCCCCGTCGCCCGTCGCAGCGCCCCCGGAGACCCGCGCGTCGCCCCCCGTCGCCCGTAGCGGCCCGCGCGACCTGCGCCAGGCCCGCGCGCGGCCCGTACGGCCTGCGCCAGGCCCGCGCGCGGCCCGTACGGCCTGCGCCAGGCCCGCGCGCGGCTCGTACGGGCTGCGCCAGGCCCGCGCGCGGCCCGTACGGCCTGCGCCAGGCCCGCGCGCGGCTCGGGCAGCCTGCGCGCGGTTCGTCCGGCCTGCGCCAGGCCCGTGAGCGGCCCGTACCGTCTGCCCCAGTGCCGCACGCCGTCCCCCGAGCTTCTGACCGCACTCCTGTGTTAGGGTTTGGGGGTGGAGAGTATGGGGGTGCCGTGTGTGTGCGCCGTCCCCTGCTCCTCCTCCTCCTCCGTCTCCCACTACTGCAGCTGCCGCTGAGGGGGGTGGATGTGTTGGAGCCGTCGGAGTGGTACGAGGGGGGTGGCGTGTGAGCGGTGCAAGTGGTTCAGCAGGGGGTGTGTGAAAGGGGTGTGGGACAGTTGGGGGAGGTTGACCGGAGGTAGCCGACTTGTCGTCCGCAGCGCCTGAAGTCCAGAGAGCCACGACCCCCTGTGGCCGTGTAGTCCGGGGCTCTGCGCCCGGTAGCCACAGTGTGAGCACTCCTGGTAGTCCAGAGAGCCACGACCCCCTGTGGTCGTGTAGTCCGGGGCTCTGCGCCCGGTAGTCACAGTGTGAGCACTCCTGGGAGCACAGTGAGCCAGCTGCGCCTGTCGACGTGTAGCCCGGGTTTAGCCTGGTAGCGTCAGTGCTGCGCACTCCTGTTGCCCGTGTGTCTGCAGCTTCAGCCGTCGCCTCTCATCTTCTCGTCCTCCATAGTTTCTCCTCCTCCTCACTTGCCCTCTGTGATAGCCTCTACCTTTGCTTATCCTTGTGAACTATTGCACTGCCTGCTTGTTGTGTTGATTGTACCCCACTTTGACTATGGGGGTGTGTCAGAATGTCGATGTTTGTCTAGCCTGCAGTGGGGTACTCTATAGCGAGTACAACCCAATTAGGGTTTCCTATATGTATCTCTACTGCTGCTAGTGAAAACCCCTCTTTCCTGTTTCTAGCTTCTGCCTGCTATTTCGACACGTGCTGCCCCTGCAACCGTGCTCGCCCCTGCTACCGTGCTGCCCCTGCAGCTGCGCCTGCCCTTGTGGCCCGCGCGCTGCCCCTGCAGCCCGTACGTCGCTCCTGCAGCCCGTACGTCGCCCCTGCAGCCCGTTCACGCTGCCCCTGCAGCCCGTTCACGCTGCCCCTGCAGCCCGCGCGCAGACCTACCGAGCCGCGCGTCGCCTCTGCAGCCCGTCCGCGCGGTCCCTGCAGCCCGCGCGTCGCCCCTGGAGCCCGCGCGCCGCCTCTGCGGCCCGTTCGCGCCGCCCCTGCAGCCCGTACGAGCTGCCCTTGCAGCCAGCGCGGCGCCCATGCAGCCCGCGCGTCGCCCCTGCAGCCCGCACACCGCCCCTGGAGCCCGTGCGTCCTGCCCCTGCAGCCCGCGCCCTAACGCAGCCCACGAGTCGCGCGCTACTGCTTCGCGCGTCGCGCTCTGCTGCAGCCCGCGCGTCGCGCCCTAAGGCAGCCCGTCGCGTCGCGCTCTGCTGCCCCTCGCGTCACGCACTGCTGCAGCCTGCGCCAGCGCCCTGCCCTGCGCGCGCTGGCGCCCTGCCCTGCGCCAGCGCCCTGCCCTGCGCCCGCGCCCTGCCTTGCGCCAGCGCCCTGCCCTGCGCCAGCGCCCTGCTATACCCTAAATATAATTAAATTGTTTATTAACAAAAAAACAAAACAAAAAAAAGGGCCCTAGGTGCTTCTGCCCTAGGAGCTACTGCCTACTACTGCCCTGCTATGGCTACACGCCGCCCTGCTCTGGCCGTGCGCCGCCCTGCTGCTGTTACTACTGCTGCTGCTGCTACTCGTGCTACTGGGAGTGGTGGAGGTGCTGCTGGGAGTGCAGGAGGTGCTGCTGGCGCTGTAGGAGCTGGAGGTGCTGGACCTACTCCTGACCGTCACTGTCTGTCATGGCCACTTCCGCGGCAGTTGCTGCGGCCAGGGGTGGACAGCAGCGGGCACTGCTTCTCCCGGACGACCCCACCCCTCGGCAGCTTCGTGAGTGGGTTATTCAGCGAGGTCGTCCTGGTGGTGGAGGTTATCGTTCTGTTAGGACTGCTGCTCTAGGTGCTAGTGAGTCTGCTGCCGCTCCAGGTGCTAGTGAGTCTGCTGCAGCTCTAGGTGCCCGTGCGTCTACCGACGCTCTAGATGCTAGTGCGTCTACTACCACAGGTCCTGCCTCATATGAGGTCTTGCACACTTTCACGCTTGACTCAGGCGCGTCACGTTGCTTCTTTCGTGATTCCACCACAGTCACACCACTCACAGCACCTGTCCCAGTCTCACTGGCTGACCCCTCTGGGGGCCCAGTGGTTGCGAGATCCTCCACGGTCCTCCCTTGTCCAGCAGTCCCCTCCGGCTCTTTGTCAGGTCTCCACCTCCCCACGTTCTCGACGAACTTGGTGAGCAACGCTGCCATTCAGGATGTCTGGGTTGATACCTTTATTCCTGGAGGGCAGCGTGTGGCGATCTGTACGTGCTCCCGGACTGGCCGTCACCTGGCTACGTTCACTCGACAGCCTGGGTCTAGTCTGTACACACTGACCACTGCGTCTGCACAAGTGGCTGAGTCAGGTCAGGTAGCTGCGTCGAGTCGAGCGTCTGCGTCAGGGCAGTTAGCTGCGTCTTGCTCTTGCAGAGTACTCACGCACGAGACTCAGCGCTGGCACCACCGTCTTGGTCACCCCTCCCT